AACACACTTGAATCGATCGAAAATTTCTATCTAGGATAACCTAACAAGTCTAAATGTCTTTGGACTTACTGTATTTCGTACAACCTGTTTATTTACGCACTTGGCCATAGTTGTATACATACATATATGTATGCACCTAATGCACCCTTTTAATCCTTTGAGTGCAGGGTATGAAAACAAACAGCGCACAGATGATTTACGTTCACTGTGTACTGCTGCACAGTGTGGCAAGGGCATTGCAACGCTGCTCAAAAATTGTATACAGATACATATGTACATATGTATATATGGGACTGAATGCGTTTGATTTGTTTAAACAGGGATATCTCAAATATTATATTCGAATGATATAAGTTCTGTTATAAAAAGTAAATAAATAAAAAAATGTATATTATTATATAAATAAATAAATATATCGGTTATGAACTCAACTTAAGTGCTCAATAATATCAAGTATACGTACAGAGCTGTTTCCCTTAGTGCAATTATTCAACCAATTTGAACTCCATTAATGACTAAAGTCGTTAGATCTCTGGCATGTTGTACGGCCCACGGGATATGACTTAAAGTTCCCGACAGGTACATATTGGAGGAGAGGTTTTTATTTAGTTTTAGTGTCTCCTGGCATTCCTAAAATTTATGTTAACAGAAGCCATTTTTTTCTTCAGATGGAGTCAAAAATATATTATAAATATGCTTTTCACCATTAGAGCTAAATTCTGGCTTTCATTATTCCGTTTTTCTCTGCTATGCTAAGAGATAGAGAGTAGAAAAGGAGCATATTCAGATGAACTCCTCTAGCTTTATTATAATTAATTTAAAAATATTTAATTTAAAAACTAAAACTAATCTATTTTATTATATGTATTCAATTTTAGATAATAATATAATAATATATAGTCATAAGACTTTGTTTACATATTTAGCTTTTATAGTTGGGCAACTCAGTTTCGTGTCACTGTGCGTAGCCGGAATGGGTCAGTTGAGCGTTTGGCCAACTTCCCAAGCAAATGAACAAAACGCTGCATCGTCGGCGTTGTTGACAGCTGCTGTGCCCTTATATAGGGTATTAGTCAATTGTTACCCACTATGCAACGAATAGTTCAAAATATCTATAAGTGCATATAGTCACAATATACATGTCGAATTTAAGGCTGATAGTATCGAAGTGTTATATGCTATATAAGCAAGGAAATTATATTCTTCCGAAAGAAGTTATAATTCATATGCTTAATTCAATGTTGAGCTAAGTACATCAAAAGCCCATCAAATCTAAACTTGAATATTATACATTATTATTTATCTTGCCTTAATAATGATGCAGAGCCCTTGGGATAGGGTATTTGGGGCTCGATAGGTTATTTTTCTTGTTTTTGATTTGTCATTTCAATAAGGTGTTGTAGTGGGTAAAGGCAATGCCAACGGAAACAGTAACGGGCACAGGATCGGGAGCAGCAGTTGCAGTAAGCAAAACGTGACTAGGCCAATGCTAACGGCGTTGACGTTGTTGTCGTCGTCGTCGGCGTCGGCGGCGTCGTCATCGTCATCGTCAACGTCAACGTCAACGTGGGCGCATAGCTGTTTTTATGCTCGTGACAGAAAATTGAAGTGTGCTACACACAAACAGCACACACACACACACCAACATATATGTATGTGTGGTAGTAAAACATACATACATATATATAGCGATGCAATTGTCATGTCACATATTAATACAGTGAGAGAAAAATTAAGACTATCTGCATATATCTATATCTATATCTATATCTATATCTATATCTATATCTATATCTATATCTATATCTATATCTATATCTATATCTATATCTATATCTATATCTATATCTATATCTATATCTATATCTATGAATATATCTATATATATATCTATATCTATATCTATATCTATATCTATATCTATATCTATATCTATATCTATATCTATATCTATATCTATATCTATATCTATATCTATATCTATATCTATATCTATATCTATATCTATATCTATATCTATATCTATATCTATATCTATATCTATATCTATATCTATATCTATATCTATATCTATATCTATATCTATATCTATATCTATATCTATATCTATATCTATATCTATATCTATATCTATATCTATATCTATATCTATATCTATATCTATATCTATATCTATATCTATATTTATATCTATCTATTTTTTGGTACATAATTTCTCTCAGTGTAGGCATGTATTGCAATATCGGCCTATATATAGAATAAGCTATACCCAGCACTTTACACGTCGTTTCGCTTCATTCCAAATATATCTAGTCACGTACTGACTCAAAAACAAGAGCTACAGCAATGCGGACACACACACACACACACACAGACCGAATTTTTGAGCTGCTTCGCCTGGAACTAAATACATAGGATGAGGTCGGAAGCATGGCATAGTATACTTACCCATTGTTAGTCCCCATGATAGCCCCAATGATAGCTTATTAGTTGTTATTCTTCCTCTTACACTCTTCATTCAGTCCCCGCTTACGTCTCTTCATCTTTCTCCTTTTGTCTTTCGACTCCAGAGCCCCTTAAAGTATGCAATTCAAACAAATGGGCGAGCTGGCGCTTCGCATTGTTTGTCGTCAGAGACAGTTGAACCGTTTTCAAAAAGCGAAAGTAAAATTTCCAAGACAGCTAGGCAGAAAAAAAATGTCTGCGCCACAATCAAAACCTGGTGCTCCAATGAAGCTCAGTAATATAATATTAAATTAGTTTGCTTTTCCATTGGAAACAAAGGAGCAGACCAACTGTAAACAGTTAGGAATTTTCTCCGTAACTCTCAGGAGTATAATGAAATTTTTCATGAGCGCGTTAAGTGAGATCATTCTCTGTGACTCTTCTTATCCATCTGAAAACCCATTAAATGCTACAAAGCTTTCGGCAACTTCCTTCGATATTGTAGCACCTACATATATAGCTCGTTCTTAGGGGATTTAATTCGGAAATGATTTCATTGGAAATCGACAATGTGCAAAATAAGAATACGAATTGTTGTTTTAGCTGAATTTAATTAAAATTTATGATTAGCAATTTTCATGGCCCATTCACACGCATGTTTGCCCCCAACATGTTTATTTATGATCTTCCTTTTATATATACATATGGTATACAAGTCAATAAATAATATATTGCCTCATAAACACATGTCGATCATGCCACATGACAGAGCGTACAATCTTCGGTATTTTATGGATGCGTGTACTTTGCTATTCGGGAGTGTTTAATAAGACGTTAATTATAGAGAATTCAAGTAGATCAGAGTTGAAAGTATTATGATCCCAATTTATTAGAGCTATACTAGATTTATTTAAAATAAAAAAGTCTTTCAGCTGCAACTCGCATATGGAATATATTTACAGGGTATTATCATGATCATTTTACATAATGCTTGCACATGTACAGGGTATATATGCAGTCTATCATTAAAATTTTTTAAAATGCTTTTTATACCCTGAACCCATTTTTTAATTTTTGTTTTTACAATCTTTATCTACATAAATTTAAGTTAAACGCTTAAAGCAGGGTATCTATGCAGTCGAGCAATGTGGAATTAAATCCATTTAAAATGTTATCATCGCGTATTTCAACGCAATCGTATTCTAGCTTAAAGAGTAAAGTTGAACACTTGAAACAGAGTATCTATATAGTAGGGCAATGTGAAATATTCATTTCCGTATTAAATTTAATTTAAGAGCCATCATTTACAATTTGTTTCCGAATTCTAAGTTCAATGTTAAGCACTAAAAACACTATATGAATACCCTATTAACTTAGCTCTTACAATTTGTATAAAGAATGTAATTGATTGCTCCTAAATTAAATTGTATATGGAAATTCAAAGATTTATATTTCATTTACCATCTATATGTAGTCGAGTCCGTTTTACTGCGAAATACCCTGAGCCCCGCAAGTAGCTGATCATTCAACGTTTCTATTATGCATACATGACAAACAATGGATGCACTCACAGACTCTCACACACACACACATATATATATGTACGCACGCACGCATAAGCACGCGTTCTGCCAATGCAGCGACTGCGTTTGGCCTGCAAATTTGGACAATATTGTTGGAACCTTTTCGTGGAATAACTTTTCTTCTAAATGGACTTTCAAATCAAACTTTCCGAACGTGCTAATGACATTCAAATGTGTGCATTTGTCAAAGGACAAATAGTGGGACGTGGTAAACTGAAATTGAAGAGGATAAAAGCTTTGCCTTCATTACATTGATCTAAACAGTAAATGTGAAATATTATTATCGCTTTAAAATACAGGGTATCAATGCAGTCGCTCAGCTTACATCAAATTATTTGTTTTTTTTTTTATTTTCAGTTGAGTTTTTGCTTCTTCGGTTGCCATTTGCCAGTTCGATAAATCTTTCACTACGCCGCGTAACGGTATGCATGCGTGTGTGTGTGCATGTGTGTCACCGGTAACGGAAATTTGTTTGCAGTTTTATTTTGAAGCTCGCACAACAGCAACAACAACAACAAATAGCAGCAGCACCAACAACAACAGCAAAGACAACAACAATAAACAAACAGTAAAAATTATATTCCGCTGGCGTTTTGTCTTGCTGTACGCACGCACACACACAAAAGCACACACACGCAGGCGAGCGAACGCTAGCAGAAGCAGAGGCGAGTGAGCTGCCGCTTAGCTGGCGCTTTGGCCGCTAGTTAAACGCCTGCAATTGCACCCAGCACACACACGCATACACATGCACATAAATACACCCACACACATTCACATGCAGGCGCTCGCAAAGGCAACACCGAACCCAACGAAGTGACGCTAACGAAGCGAAACGAACGACTCGTTGGACGCTCGTGTATGCCGCTGCTATTGTCGTCGCCGGTGTCGCTGCGCGCAGCGCGCTGCGTCGCTGCCGGCGTCACTGGGCAGAAGGCCAGAAGGATAAGTTGGGCAGATGCTTGCAAGATTCTGTCATAACGGCTTCGGCACTCGTGGCGCGCGTCTCGCACGCGGCACTAGCAGCAGCAACAGCAGCACAACCAAAAGCACAAACAGAATTTAAAACAAAACAAAAACAAAATATTAAACACTGAGGGTTATTACAAAATTTTTGAAACATTAGCGCGCTCGCGTTTAAATCACTTTTTTTTTGTTTTTTGTTTTTTGTTTTTTTTTTTTTTTTTTTTTTTTTGTTCGTTCGTTTTTTCCCCCGTTGTGCATTGTGTTTACACGTTGTTTTTTTTTCGAAGAATTTTCGAAAAGTGCGCGAGTCTAAAGTACACACGATGTGGCGGCCATAGAAAGTTGGAGCAATGTTATGGCTACTATATGTTAAGTTCCAATCGAGAGATAAACACAGTTCGTCACTAAAGTACGCCAAAGTGTTTGCGAGCAAAGCAAACAATATCCAAATTCAAAACAATCGAAAAACGAGAAACTGCAATGGCAGGTGAGTAAGACAAACAAGTAACAGAGACTATCTAATCTGTAAAAAAAAAAGAAGAAGAGCTTACATGGAATATCATATTTATTTGAATGATAATGTTAGAAGCTTATCATATATTATATACAATATTTTTGTATATTTGTATTCCAATATAAAATTCCCATCCACAATTAATTTTTATTTTTTATTACATTTCGTAGTGTTTGTTGCAGTTCTCTAATGTAATACTCTCCAAGCTCTAGGTACTTTATTGAAATTTCAGTTGAGCCAACGCTGCTGAAAAGTTTAAATATGTGTGTAATTTAATTTTCATAGAAACCCGATGAGCCCTTGATTTTAGATTGAAATCTGGCAAAAATCGAAAATGGAAAATACTAAGAAATCAGTCCATTGCTTTGGGGCTAATCGAAAAGAATGATAAATACAATTAAATTTTAATTGCTGTATTGTAAAATTTCAAAAATGCTTATTTTATAAATATATTTTTTATTTATTTATTTATTTTATTATATTTATTTATTTATTTTTTTATTTTATTTATTTATTTTTTTTTTTTTGGAAACTCATTATTCATTAAATTATTATTCAAAATAATATTCTTGAGTAATTAATTATTCATTATATAAGTATTATATGTCCTACAAATGTTGCCAAACTTCACTTACAGAAACTCGGCTCAAAGCAATGTTCCAACATATCTGTAAAGGTTTACATATTTCTTACGTTTTCAAGCACTGTTGTCGCACTTCAGTGTTCAGCAATTGAGCCTAACTGCTCGTCTTTCGATTGTTAAGCTCTTGCGCCGTTGCCAAACTTCATAATTGCTTTGTGCGCTGCTCTGTCGTTGTTTACACTTCACTTCAATTCAGTTCTTCGCTCATAAATTGACCACAAAACTGTGCGATTTCAATAATTTCTGAACTCATTGAATTAGACGCGCAGTCGACTATCAAAAATTTTTGTTTGTATTTGGTTTTTGTTTTTATATACGAAGAATGTGTTATATTCCACCGTTCATTGAGTTGTGCCGACTGAACAACTCAATATAACACATTTTTGCGCTACAGTTCATATTTATAAATATTTTCAAATATTCTCTACTTTACCTAAAAGTTTATCTAGCACTGAGATTTCTATATTTCTTTATGTTCGCCTCTTCTACACTCCTCTCCTTTTTGTTGTGGTTCCATTTCTTTCTTTTTCTTCTCTTTCGCTCTTCATTTTTATTCTCATATTTTCTGCATTCTTTTGAGTTATTTTCTCTTCGCACGTCTACTCTTTTATTCTGAGCTTCTCTGTTAGTATTAAATTCTGCTTAACTTTTCTTTCCTTTTCTTCTGATTTCCTCATTTCTTATTGTTTCTTTTCATTCCTTCTTTTGAGCTGCTCTTTTCTCATACTGTACTTCCTTATCCCGTTTCTTCTCTTCTCTGCAAGCACTTCTCCTTCTCATATCTTTTTCTTCTCAACTCTTTTCTTCCCATTTCGTTTACTCTCTTATATTCTTTTTCACGACTTTTCGTCCTCTCTTCACTTCATTCTACTTATTCTCAACTTCTTTTCCCTTATAATCTTTTCTTATTTCTCCTTTACTTCTAATCTCTCCTTTCATCTCTTACCTATTTTTGTTCAAATCTTTACTTTTCTGCATTTATTCATTCTCCCAACTTCTACCCCTTTCGTATTTTACCCATCTGCTTACGTTATTCCTTTAACTTATTTAGCTTTCTCTACCCTGTGCCCATTTTGTCTCTTTACTTTTTGTGGCATTCTTCTTTTAAATCTTTTTTTTTCTGTCGGCGTCCAATGTGGCGTATGCGCAACATATATAAATATTTGCTTCTCCTAAATTTGGTTGCACCCAATTTCATAGGTTTGGTGATATGCCTGTTTTTGCCCACGCTGCAGCGTGCCGCCCACTGCTAGCCGCCACTGCCACGCCTCTAGTCCGCTGCTGCCGCCGCCTCTGTTGGCCAACAAATGCAGCTGGGTCAGTTTGCGTAAACATTTGGACGAAAAAGAACATTTCTGCGGCTGCATTTGTTCAATTTCTTTGTGCACGAATTTTTTTCTCTTTTTCACTTTTGTGTGTAGGGTATTCAGCGTTTGTTGCGAATAGAGTGAAGCCTAACTGCACAGGCATAAGTAATAAATATATATACGTATGTACATATATTTGCATAGTTATATATGTTTATATTCTCCCTCTCCCCCCCACTCCGTCTCCCACTCTCTTTTCCTCTATATTATAGAACAACACAATTCAGATTTGCCTAGATCAACTTTCTATAGCATATATCTATATAGGCTATAGCAACTAGAGTCAATTAAGCATCTCTTAGAGAACTTTGCATTTCTATAGAAACCTGCTTGGTTGCTCTTCAAAAATGATATTCTAATCAAATTGTACAATTAAAAACTTTAAGTGGACGGCCGAGGGAAAACAGGATATCAAATTACGCACAACATTATATCAATTACTAGAGGAACTACCCTCAGGGGCAAGCCAGGGCATACGAACTTCGACTAGCTCGTCCATAACATTCAGATGCAGAATATATGTATATATATAATTTATATATATATATATATATAAATATAGATGTATGTATGTGTGTATGCAAAATGTTGTTAGGCATTTAGGCCGTTTGCTTTTCAACTCTGCTTGTGGGCAATGGGTTGGTAGTGCGCGACGGGGTAGGGGGGGGAGCGTGGCACAAGGACAGTAACGTGAGGGCTGGCAGTTGTTAAACTGGACGCAAGACAAACTTCGTGTTGACAAAAGTTGTAGCATGTGCGAAAGTGAAGGCACCAAATGCCATTTACTCTGCTCGCATATATGAGTGTGTGTGTGGGTGGGGGTGTGTGGGTGGGTGTGTGGATGGGTGTGCAACTCATTAGCATTGCAGCCAAGTGATGCGAGTGCTGTCCGTGAAGTGTTTTTTGTCCTAGCAGCGAGTTAAAGCGACAGTGTGGAAATTTTTAGTTCGAAGACATGAGTTGCCAGCAATCTGTGCGTCTATGTGTGTGTGCGTGTGTGTGTGTGTGTGTCTGGCCCGAGTGCATTGCATGGCACGTGCCTCATTATCGGGCGGGCGGCCGCACGACGAGCTTGTAATCAAATTGAGATACTTGCGGTTGCCTTTTTGACCAGGCGCTTAAAGGTGAGAGAGTGTGTGTGAGCCACCGCATGTGTGAGTGTGTGTCGGTGTCTGTGTGTATTTGACTTGTCTTATTAACACAAGCAATGAGCATGAAATGGGACCAAGCTGATGCGGGTACGACAGACAGTGAAGTCCTCTTGCGCTGGCGAACAATCCTTTTGCATATGTGTGCGTTGCGACACGCTTTTCACACACACACAATCACACACGTCGCTTTTAAGTGTTTGCCATAAAAAGAATGCCACAACTGCGGTTATCATTGAGTTTCCTTTTCTCTTCTTTATTCTGATTCTGTTCCTCTGTCAGCTGTGCGTGTATTTTGCTCGCACTGTCCTGTTCCCCCCCTCTCTCTCTCTCTCTTGCTCTCCCTCTCTCTAAGTATTTACAGAATTTTTGGCTTTCTGACATTTGCATATGAGTAAGCACATAGAAGAGAGCATGAAATATGCCGCAATGCTTCCAACTGGGCTTAAACTGTCTTGAATTAGAGAGCCGGCGAACATAGGCTAGCAACGACTAGCAAATGCCCTAACCAAATGGGCTTAAGATGTGTTGAAGCTGAGCGCTGAATAAAATAGACCAGCAACGACTATCAAATTCCCAAGCATTGTAACTCATATTCTCTCTATACAATACTTAACATACTTGTTGATACTCAAAGAGAGAAAGTCATGAGATGATGATGATGATTTTTTTTTTTTTTTTTTTTTTTGTGGGTTGAGATAGGAAAAAATGCTTTATGCACCGTCAGTCAGGTCGTCACTCTGACCGGTGTGTCGGACTACATGACTGCTTACCGACTAAAAAATCCTCCTCTTCAGGGGGTCGAAACCACCTTGGAACCAGGAGTTATCCCGCATTAACCTTCAAGGTGGAGCCCCATATTGTGCTCTAAATGAGCGTTGCCCTCTGTGTGCCTGCGTCCAGGTCATACTTCTTCCGCCGAAGAACCTTTTCGGCGAAATCATAGACTTTTTTCCAAGCGTCTATGCTACTGCACATTTGCTGTACTAATGTCTCTACTTTGACTTCACCGACTGTTTCTGCCAGGTCGATTCTTTCTTCCGACCACCTGTTGCAGTTGAAGAAAGTGTGTTCTGCATCGTCCATTGCATTTTCGCAGTAAATACAGCTGGATTCAGCAGTTTTCCCCATCTTATTTAGATACTTTCGAAAGTATCCATGTCCGGAGCCAAAGTCGCATTAATATTATTAAATAAATAATATTATAAATAAATATAATGGAATATTATTCCACAACTTCCTACTTATGATGCCTTCGTACAGTTTTTTATATTACATTTTCCATTTGCTCGTATGTTATATTCTATAATATATGAATATAATACATATTTAATATTATTTATTTTTTTTTTGTACATCTCTTGTCATCTTATCATCTGTCATAGAAATAGTAAATAACAAATAAGTTCAACTACTGAAACCCATCACGCATCCATCTAGTCGCATTAATAGAAATCAGAATTTGATTGAACTCATGAATTTTGGTTCTGCAGCCCACACGTCGTATGCATAATATGCCAATATAGCGTCAAGAGCTAAGTTTTACCTTGACCCAGCAATAAAAGGCAATGTACAGCACCTGTCTGTCAATCTGTCTGTATTCGATTGTCTGCCAGGGAAAAATCCTGAAATTCAGCAAATTAGCTGTTATCCAATTTTACTCCAAACTTCTCACAAAAATTTAATTTACTGCAGTCCTCTATCAAAATACACGTCAAAATTATGCAAATCTCTATATGTGATTCACTGAGGCTGCTCAGCACTGATTAAGTGCTGGGGATGCTGACATACATTTACAAAGGTTAGTCTCTAATA